CAGTATTTCATGTATGAGGGACTTCAACTTTTTGTTATTACTGAATTGCAGAGTGAGGAGGATGTCCTTAAGAACTAAGGATACTCACCTTGTGAGATTCCTCTCGAGGACCCAGGTGGGGTCTGTTAACTCCTTCCAATCACCTAGTTCCCTCCCACCTGCTATGGCCCCACAAGGGGAGGATCCAGGGCCTCTCTGATTGGTCCAATATTAGCGAATCAGAGCCTTCACATCCACCAGCTACTGATTGGTCCTCCTCCGAGACATCAGCCAATTAGACCTTTTTTTGGAGGTGCGGGCCCTCTGCCCTCCCAAATCCCAGCCTTGTACCCTGCAAGCCTTGGGCACCAGAATGTCACCCTGTTGTGGCTACACCATCACCAACACCACCCACTGTGGGCTTCTGGGATCCCATCTCCGTCCACCTGGTGGACCTGATGCAGCACCTGGAGGCCCTGGGGCAAGTTTGTTAAGAGAATGAGTAAGAAATAAAATCTGCTAGAGGGAGGCCTCAGATGGGGCTGGACAGACCGTGCCAATCTCTAAGGGTGTGATCGTTTAGAAATCCAGTTGAGTACACCTCTGGAGTGTGAAGAAACACACCCAGGGACAGGGAGGCCCAAGAGCTAGGCTAGTGTCTCTGGTCAGGGTGGAAGCAGGGCAAGCTCCCCTGGGGTAAAGGAGGGGCCGCCCAGGTGCTGGTGTGTTGGGGAAGAAGGGATCCAGGAAACCATGAGGTAACCAGAAGGCCCAGAGAACCGTGAGGAGGTGAAGTGGGTAAACAGGGAGGGACAATGGTCACCCTGGCCTTGCAGCACGGGGGACAGTGCTGGCAGGGCCTGGTGGGGGAGTGTCCAAGGGAAGCTGGCACCGGCCTCTCCTGCTATCTCCCCATCACTTCCATCTGCCTGTCCCTCTGCTGATGGTGCTCAGATCCCCAGATAACAAGTTTCCGCCGATTGCAGCGTTAACTGTTCAGATAACACCCGGAGATGGACGTTGTTGGACCTCACGGAGGATGCGGGGCTACCGTCCGGGGCCGAGGTGGCAG